GGAAAGGTGACTCTTTAACTTTTGGCTTAGTTCTTTAATAGCACACATTTGGATACGATACTCCATATTTAGCAATCAACTTGAACTTTGACAATTGATGTGTGTACAACCTGATTTTGTACGCACCTAAAAATTAAATGAGCAAAAGTTGATTTTGTAATAAACTAAAAGCTTCCCAACCTCATAAAAATTTGTCATGTATCTTTATTTTTGGTGTAGATTTCACAATATCGTGCTTATCCCCGACGGACACGAGCCTCTCTTCACATTTTTGCTATAGAATGTCGATGAGTACCAAAGTAAGAGCCAAGGGAAATCGTTGAAAATCATGGGGTTTTCTTTTGAAATCCTTCTATTTACACGGGCACTCATGTTGCCATTTTGAGTGCGACAAGCCTGTGTATCGCTGAACGTTTGTGATGTGGCAACAAAAAAGATCCAAAAAAACGAAAAAAAATAATGTATTCTACAAATAGATTTGCAATGCTTTGTAATATGTGTTCTTATTAAACTTTTAATATTGGTTATGAAGTTATATATATTTAAGAGTCATTCATGTGAAAACTAATATTTCATCTGTCTTGAATTGAATTGCAATTTGTAAATTTTAAGGTTGACTCATTCATGCAAATAGTTAAACTGTTTTTAATAATTAAAATATGAAAATCAGAAATAGGGTTGGATTCGGGTCGGGCCACCCAGCCCGTGGACCGGCCTGGCCCACTACTGTGCGGGATTGGGACCGGCCCGGTTATCGGGTCTGGGTCCGGGTTGGGCCTAGGCCCGGGGTGGGGGGGCGGGTCCGGGCTCGGGTTTTACATTTGGCGAACCGGCCCGGCCGGGTCGGGCCCGGGTCCGGGCCAAATATTTTTTTTTCCATTTTTTGGGGTTCCACCCTGGTTTGGCTTGATGGTTAGGGGGGGTTAGGAAAAAAAAACCGGAGGCCCCGGCCCGGACTCGGACTGGATTCGGTGGCTACCCGAGCCGGTCCTGGGTCCACCAATTCTGAACCGCCGCCCCGGCCCTGGCCTAGTCCGAATCCATCCCTAATCAGAAATGCATTGAGAGTTGCAAAATCCAAATTAAAATATAATAATAAGAGAGAATCACACTTTTAGTTCCTGAAATAGTCACCATATTGAAATGTGAGACGCGGGTTGTCCAGTTTGTAAATGTTACCCCTGAATTGTCCAAATTACTGCAAATGTGGTCATTTGAGCGGTGAAATGTACAATGTAACATTTCAGGGGTAACATTTACAAATTCAGGGGTAACATTTACAAATTAGGGAACCCGGGTCTGACATTTCAATATGGTGACTATTTCAGGGACTAAACGTGAAATTTTTCCTAATAATAAATTGTTATGCTAAATAAGTAGATAAAGTGAAACTATGTTGATAAAAACATGCTTTGCAAATCATTTTGGTTGGTTTTTATGATTTATCCCCCCCCCCCCCCACCCCCACCCAAACCACCCACCCCCACCCGCCTAGCACCCAATCCATGCGGCAAAAAAAAATTTGGGCCCGGACCGGCTGGGCCCGTCCACCAAATACCCATCCCGTAACCCGCCCGAAACACACCCGGTTCGGGCCCCAAGTCTCGGGCGGGGCCGGGGCAGTACTGCACAGTTATGATCCGGCCCGGTCCATGACTAAGTAATATGATTATAAATGTGTTTATATCTTTACATTTATACAGGGCCGACTTTTGTGGGAGTTAGCCTAGACAAATGTCTAGGGCCTCCAAATAATATGGGGCCTCCAATTTTAAAAAAAATCAATAGTATATACATTTATTTAATTAGAAATTAGAATTCCAAATACGGAGTAGGAAATAAGGGGTTATGTAAGAAGCATGTGTACGTGTTTACTACGAAATTAAAGTATTTTACAATTTTAAGAAGTATTTTACATATTAATAAGCTGATGTAAGATCACACATCTGGAATATTTCTTTACTTTTTTAGATTAGTTTTCCGTATATTGGCCCGCATACTCAGGTCATATAAATTAGTGGAGTATTAAATTAGGTTTTAAGTATGTCATGCGGGTACCATCAAAAAAAAAAAGTATGTCATGCGGGTCATGCAGTCACGGTTTTAGTGGAGTATTAAATTAGGTCACATAAGATCAAAACCAGACAAAAAATTACAGTTTTAGTTTAAATTATTTTCAATTGTGGGAGTTCTTTTAAATTATTTTGTTATTTCATATCTAAAAAAGAGCTTTAGTAAGTAGGGCTCCCTATATATTTAATTAGTTTTTTATTTCTAGTAGGACAGACGATATTTTTTAGTATGAAACTATTTTGAATATGAAAATTAAATCAAAATGTTTTTTCTTCAAGATATTTTCATAAAAGTAAAAAAAAATATATAAAACCTCTGTCTCATTGTAGTTTGCCAGCTTTGATTTTTTTAGTCAAAGATAATAAATTTTGACCAAACATTTCAATTAATGGTAGTATATTTATGAAAAATTTAATAATCTTATATTTTTATGATTGTATTTTTGACAAAAAAAAATGATTTTGATAGAGCATATGGGCCTGGATCCCATGGCCCGCATACTCAGGTCAAAGCACGTCAGCAGGACATCCACGCGGCACGCTATGGCCCAGTGGCCGGATAAGCTTAGCACCCCAACCGGACTTCCAGGGCCGCATCGGCCCATGGACCGCATCGGCCATGGGACCGCATCGGCCAAAAGACATCGCGTCGGCCAGACTTCGTCCTGGTGGAATGAATGTTTCTACTTTATTTGCTAAGTGATGTACTTAACCCATTAGTGGCCCTATTCAGCCCAAAGAAGGCATAACTATTGTAATGGGCCTCCTAAGCCCAAAGCTAGGAGGCCAAATCCACATTTTACCTATAAATAGACCCCGAGGGGCTAGTTATAGGGGGTTGAAAAATATTAATTGCTCACTTTCTCTCTCTAACTCTCACTTCTCTCTAGGATTAAATACGCTATCAGATTTCATTTTCACATTATAAATACTACATACTCCCCCGTTCTTTTTTAAATATCTTTTTCCACTATTCACATGTTCTACTTTGACTCTATTTTATTTATTAATGCTTTACTCTCTCCCTCCCATTTTGGTTGTCCTACTTTCCTTTTTGGGTTGTCCCAAAATGAACGTCTTGTTTCCTTTTTTGGAAAGTAATATGTGGTCTTTATCATTTTAATTAATTCTAATCAAATCACAACCACAAGTTTTACTTTTCAACCACTTTATTAATAAACGTGCCAAATTGAAAGTGGACAACCGACGGAATGAAAGATATTAATGATGAAACTTGTGTTTTGACAAACGTGAAAAATGGGCTGTTGCATTTAAAAAACAAGAAGTATGTAGTACACTAGTACGTAGTACTACCTTCGTCCCGAATTGATTTGCAAATTTGACTTTTCTTGATCAAACAGTTGCGTTTTGTTCACCTAATTATGATGCCAATTTTTAATTACATTCTAATTTGGAGTTTACAACTTTGAAGAGATTTTGATGTAGTTTATGAATATGTAAATTTTATGTATTAAAAATTAAATTAATTATGCATAAGAAGGGTTGACTTTTATTGTTAGTTGACCAAAAAATGTTGACTTTGCAAAACAAATTGGTACGCATAAAGTATATCGAGTAATATCTTAATGGCGAAATTGACATAAATAATCCCTACTTTTATGCATTTTACAAAAATAATCCCTACCGGAAAAGTTTACAACAATAATCCGAACTACTTAACTCTTTCACAGAAATAAACCGAAGTTAATGGTGTTAACTTTTCCGTTAGTTTTTTTATTGCATTTTAAATATAATGAAGCAATAATATGTACAAACACCAACATTATTATATACTTCTTATATTTGTCCTTATATTTACTTTTATTATGAATTAAATTTAATAGTCATTATTTTTCATAAAATGTAATTGAAATATTTAAGAACGCACTCATCAAATTCTCATTTTTCTTTTAGTTCTAATCAATATTTTATTTATATTCATTTTTATTTCATTGTATAAGAGATTTAAAATTAGTTTTAGTAATTCTAAAGTACTACGTATTAAACATTACCACGTACTAAAATGAATACAAGTCTGTGTGCAAATTTTTATTATATTTTACAAAAACTAGTTATTATTAAATTAAATTTATAGTACAAATAAGACTAAACAAAAACATAATATTATTAATGTTTTTATATATATTTGCTTCATTTTATTTTAAATTTTTAAAAACATTAACGGAAAAGTTAACACCGTTAACTTCCGGTTTATTTTTGTGAAACAATTATCCAGTTGGGATTATTGTTGTGAACTTTTTGAGTAGGGATTATTTTTGTAAAATGTCTAAAAGTAGGGATTATTGATGTCAATTTCACCTATCTTAATAGGTAAAGTGAGATACTCCCTCTGTAACACCGTCCCCAAATATATTTACCGTTATGTAAATTATGTATTGAATATGGTGTATTGAGTAATGAATTTACGAGGTTGTAAATTTTTGTTATTTCTTTTGCGTGAATAGTAAATTCCACGTGGGGCCCACACTCGGAGCGGGGGTAACCCGATAACGCGAGACCACATGTTATATTCATCTTGGTCTAGATAATAGTTACATGGTGGTGGACATTCATAATGGGCCATGATAAAGGCATTGGGTTGACCGGTTTGGCAAATAGGGCCCAATTACCGGTATTGGTAATTTAACATATAACAGCCCGAAATGAATTTCGGGGGCTTATAAATTAAAGTTGGGGAATGTATATTCATTATGAGGGTCATAATGATTGAAAACACATAATATATTTTATTTGACCAGATAAAATAAAATATAGTTAAACTAGTCCGAGAAATACAACTTTCGGGGCCGAATGTACACGTCGGGACAACATGGGATGACCTCCCACATGAGTGGGGGCCACCCCACGTTTTTATGGGCTATTGAGACAAGGGAGGGCTGCTCAATGTCATAGGGAGGTGGCTGGATGATTTAATTGGCATCAAACAAGTGTGGACCTCACTCCCACACTTATTTGCTAAGTAAGACAAGGAGGAAGGTCTCCTCACTCCCACCCCTATCACTCAGCTCGACCCAGCCCCCAAAGAGAGAGAGGAAGAGCTCTGAAAATCCTCCATCTCCATAGCCAAGAAAGCTCAAACAAGCAAGGAGCTCAAGGGAGAAGATTATAGGAGGAGAGAGCTAGGAAGAAGTGTGAAAATTAAGGTAATAACCTTATCATAACTTTTCCTTTATTTTTCTTCTACCATATGAGTTATATATCATATGAATAACCCCTAGGATGGTTCTACATGCCCAAAGTGTAGAACAATGGGTTGAAAGATGGTTATAAGTCCAAGAACGGACTTAGAAGCCAAAGAGACCGGCTCACCGGAAAATAACCTTTTAGAGGTTATTTGTATTGATTTGGGTTTTGTGATGATAAAACCTTGTTAGGCACTTGTAAAGGGTGATTTAAGAACTTTCACGAAGTTGAAAGAGTCGCCGGAGTTGTCACCGGAGTTCATCAAAGTTCGCCGGAGTTCCATCGGAGTTCAACCGGGAAGGGTAGAACTTCACAACGCTCATTCGAGGTGAGTGGACGGCTTAATGTCTTATAACTCTTGGGTTAAGTATGAGATTACCTAAATAAATGTTATAAGTATTCATAATGATGTTTAAAAGAGTTTAAGCATGTAATTAGCCTAGGTAATTAGGCCTATGTGAATAAAACTACATGATGATGCATGTGAAGTATATGAAAAATGTATAAAAACATTTGTGATGTTTTGGATGACCAAAATGGCATTTATTGGTTGTTTTAGACATGATATAGGTTGTATAAAAATTTCGGGTCAAACGGATCACGTTTCGGGGGTCAACTCGGGGGTCAACGGACCGTTGACCCAAAACTCCGAACATACCCGGCGCCGGGTATAGGGCATACCCGGGGCCGGGTAAGCTACTGCCTCCACATATTAATTTCACCGAAAACGCGAACCGAATTCCGGTTCGAAGGAGGGGCTGACCCCGTACAACCTATGTGTGTATATTGTGCATGGAATTGCATGGAATATGATGATTTAATGTCAAGGTTGATATTTATTGATTTAATTCTAAGACTTGGTTTAGTCTTTAGTAATAATATGATATAGACCCTATCTAGTGTGATATGTGGTAAGTCATAGGTCGGGTGGAGTACCCAGGGATCGGGCGTGTATCCTCAAAACTCGGTTATAGGGTGGAGTACCCAAGGATCGGACGGTTATCCTCAAAACTCGGTTATATAGGGTGGAGTACCCAAGGATCGGGCGGTTATCCTCAAAACTCGGTTATATAGGGTGGAGTACCCAAGGATCGGGCGGTTATCCTCAAAACTCGGTTACAGGGTGGAGTACCCAAGGATCGGGCGTGTATCCTCAAAACTCATAAGATTACATTTAATGATCTAGGACCGGGCGGTGTCCTTATGATAATTTATTTGAACAAGGAGGAGTTCTATACACTCATAGGTATATGGGTGGGTTGGGATTTAAGTCAAGGATATTGGCTACTATTATTTTCCCAAATAAACAATGACCTACGGGTCGGGTATTTCCAAGTGTATGCATACTAATATGTATTTCAAACTTGGGGGGAAGGACTATACGTATATGTATCACCCTATGTTTGGGTCTTATACTTGAAACGTTAGTTATTCTACATTTAGCTTGCTACTCGCTCGGTACTTGTACTGACCCCTTCGGGGGGCCCCACCATTTCAGGTTGAAGCTAAGGCTAGCTATCCATACTTTGCTTGGTGAAGTATTCCAAAGGAAGACGTGGTTCGTGCTTCCTTTACTGTTTTAAACTACAAACTTGCTCATGGATATTTTGTAATAAATACATTTGTTTTGGGCCTGCGTGCCTACGTTTTGGCCAAGTGTGGCCCACGATTGAATATTGAATATTTCCGCTATTCGTTCAACCCTATTATGTGATGTTGTTATGTATGTTTACTTACTGAGTATGGTATGGACTATGTTCATGGACGCCTTGTTTGACTAAGTCACGTTGACTCGTGGGTGACGTCATTTAGTCATACGGCGGTTGTACACGCGCTCAGATGCGGTCTGGGGCGTGACAATTAAGTGGTATCAGAGCCATCTCAGTTTCTAAACTATGTGATCAACCTCTCACAAGAGATTTTACAAAAGAATTTTACCGAAAACCATGAGCATTGTATTTTGGCGCTTATAGAACTATTGTTACCTAAGTTGCAAGGTCTCTGGTTGTTAAGATGGTACCCTTAACAATTGGTATGGCGGTGACTCGGGCCAATACGTGTCTATAACGTTTTCCGTCAATTGACATTGATTGGAGTCTAACGACTCGTCCAAATTCCTTTCAGAAATGGAGGGTAGACGCATGCAGACCAGAAACAATCCGGGAGGGCAAGCACCGATAGCTTCTATTGAAGCTAGCCGGGCTGCATCTCGAAGCTCCAGAGGTGGAAGAGGAGGCCGTCGAGGCCGTGGAGGTCGTGGGGGCCATCGAGCCCAAACAGTGAGTGACGGCCATGTGAGTTCGGTGTACGAGACTAACACCGAGGACTACGACTCTACTTATGTTCCCGAAACGGAGCATGAGGAGACCCCATATGATGGGGGCGATTTCCACACCGATGATGAAAATGATGATGAGAGTGATGCCCGGTTTGCCCAAATGGGGGAACTTCTAGCGTGGTATCAAAAGGAGAAACAGAGGAGAGACATGAGACGCCAAGCGAGGTATGCTTCTCAAGGTGTTTCGGCCCAAGGAAGCCGGGGATCTTCAAGGGCCACACCGGTGGTGCCACAAGGTGGGCATGAAGGAGGTTTTGTGGTGAGAATCTCCAAATACCTCAAGGAGGCTAGGGCCTTGGGGTGTAGGTCCTTTGACGGCACCGGCGACATTACCGTTGCCACCGATTGGATCAAGAAGGTGAAGGATGCATCGAGAGACATGCAAATTTCACCGGACGTGAAGCTAACCGTCGCTTCACGGTTGCTTGAAGGGATGGCTTCTACATGGTGGGAAGGTGTGGAAGGGAAATACCGCGGGGACATCTCATGGGAGAATTTTGAGCGGGAATTTTATGCCCAATACTACTCCGATTTCGAGGTTAATGTGAAAAGGAGGGAGTATACCAACCTCAAGCAGAAGGAGGGTTGCACCGTTAAACAACTAGAGCAAGAGTTTAGAACCTTGGCTAGGTTCTTACCGGAGTATGCGATTGATGAGGACCGCATGACTGAGCACTTCTGGGATGCTTTACTCTTAGACATCCGAGATCGTGCTACGTACTCACGCCTCATGACTTTTAGTGAGGTGGTAGAACAAGGCATGCTGGGGGAGGCCCAGTGGAATGAAAGGAAAGCAAGAGATGCCGAAGAGGCAAAGAAGAGGAAGTGGAATAGTTCGGGGCCGCCCGATCATTCCCGAAGGAACAACCACGGTGGTGGTGGTGGTGGCTCATTCAAGGCACCGGCTCCACCGGCAAAGAAGAATAGGGACGCGAGGTGGCACGTAGGGCTGAGCAAAACCCGATCCGACCCAAAAACCCGATATTTTTTTCGGATATTATCCGAACCGAAGTGGATATCCGACCCGAAAAACCCGAAACCGAAAATCCGATTAGTATTGGGCCTAGACCGGGTGGCGGGTAGGGTTTGTGAAATCCCAACCCGACCCGCCCGAATATCCGAAATATATGTTAGTGTGTACTTTGAATATTTAAATTAATACTTGTGTTCAATTATTTGTGTTATTATTTGTGCAATTTGTATTAAATTATTTGTGTAAATTGAATGTGTAGTGAACTAGTGTGTACAATTTTTGTTAAAGTGGCATTCCAACACTTTAACTATCCAATTATAATGTGTTTTGATATAACCAAAATATCCGAAATATATTAAATTATGTAGTGTGTACTTTGAATATGTTAAATTAATACTTGTGTTCAATTATTTGTGTAATTATTTGTGCAATTTGTGTTAAATTATTTGTGTAATTTGGAAGTTTAGTGCACTAGTGTGTACAATTTTTTTCAAAGTGGCATTTAAACACTTTAATTATCCAATTATAATTTTTTAATATAACCGAAATATCCGAAACCCGACCCGATATCCGAAAATATCCGACTTAAAAAATATCCGAAATACCCGATTTGAAATATCAAAGGGTCGGGCCTAGTATTTAAATTAAAAAACCCGAACGGGTTTAGGGTTCGCAAACCCGACCCGCCCGAACCCGACCCGTGCACACCCCTAGTGGCACGGACCTAGGCCACAAAACCCGGGGGCACCTAGATGTCCCAATTGCTCAAAACAGCACTTTGGGAAGTGCAATGAACCACCGAGATGTTTTAAATGCGGGAATGCGGGCCATATGAAGGCCAATTGCCCTCAATTGATGCAAGAGAGCGCATCGGGAGCCGGGGGAGGGGCCATGACGGGAAGGAACCGTGCGGGACCGTCGCACGGTGGCACGGGAAGAGGCGGCGCGTCAACAAGCAATGCCGCGTCCGTTAACCAAGGCGGGGCCCAAGCGAGGGTCTACGCGATGACCGAGGCCGATGCCTGGGCTAACCCCGACTCTGTTGCAGGTAATTCCTTGTTCATACTTGTAATGTTCATATACATGTGTGTTTTAAGCTTTAGGGAGCAATTACGAGTTAACCGACGGCATTTCCGGCTCGTTTTCGGGCGAAAAACGAAGTTGGACTGCCCAGGGATGAACCGGCGCCGGTCTGGGCTTGACCCGGCGCCGGTCTGGTGTAAAATGATGAACCGCGGGCTGACAGTAGCTTACCCGGCGCCGGCCAGGGGGGCAACCCGGCGCCGGTCCGGAAAAATTTCCCGGAGGGTGCTATCCAGTAGCTTACCCGGCGCCGGCCAGGGGGGCAACCCGGCGCCGGTCCGGGGAAAATTTTCTGATATTTCGCTCCAGGGGTGAACCGGCGCCGGTCTGGGCCATACCCGGCGCCGGCCCAGTTCACTTTTGCCACTTTTCGATTCCAGTACCTTACCCGGCGCCGGCCAGGCCTATACCCGGCGCCGGTCCAGTGTATTGTCGTCCAAAAAATTTTCGTTTAGCCCTATTTTCGACCCGGTACGTGTGTAGTGTGTCTTACATGACTTATATATGTAGGAACCTTAAAGATCAATGGTAGAAACGCAAGAATTCTCATTGATACCGGGGCACAACGTTCATTCGTGAGTGAAACGTTTGCCGAAAGTTTAGGCGTACCGTTGATAGCAATGACCCAACCCTTGTTGGTCTCTACACCGTTGGGAGACGATGTGGAGAGGAAACACTATTATCCATCGTGTGAGGTAGAAGTAACGGGTCAACCCTTGACTTGTGACTTTGTACCTCTAAGTATGTTGGAATTCGATGCAATCCTGGGGATGGATTGGCTCGAGAAGTATCATGCTCGGGTAGATTGCTACGCCAAGGTGTTAGAGCTCGAAGACGCTGATGGAAACGCTCTACGTTTCGAGGGAGATCGGGGAGGATCTCATAGCTGTATCATATCCGTGATGAGGGCACGAAAGATGATGAAGAAGGGATGCCACGCATACCTTGCTTACGTGGTTGACGAAACAAAGAAGGAGGCTGACATCAACGATGTACGCGTCGTGTGCAAGTATCCGGACATCTTTCCCAAAGACTTACCGGGACTTCCACCCGATAGAGAGATCGAGTTTGTGATCGAAGTAGAGCCGGGAACAAAACCCATTTCGATTCCTCCTTATCGAATGGCACCGGCAGAGCTTCAAGAATTGAAGGTCCAATTGCAAGAGCTATTGGACAACGGCTTCATTAGACCTAGTCATTCACCGTGGGGAGCACCGGTACTCTTCGTGAAGAAGAAGGATGGTACATTGAGAATGTGCATAGACTACCGACAGTTGAACAAGGTCACAATCAAGAATAGGTATCCTTTACCGAGGATTGATGACTTGTTCGATCAACTTCGGGGGGCTATGGTGTTCTCAAAGATTGATTTGAGGTCGGGTTATCACCAGTTGAAGATCAAGGAGAGTGACATACCCAAGAGTGCATTCCGCACTAGATATGGTCACTATGAGTTTCTTGTGATGTCATTTGGGTTAACCAATGCACCGGCAGCATTCATGGACTTGATGAACCGAGTGTTTAGTGAATACTTAGATCAATTTGTGATAGTATTCATTGATGACATCTTGATATACTCCCAGAACGAGGAGGAGCATGAATACCACTTGAGACTTGTACTTGAACGACTTAGAGAAAAACAACTCTTTGCCAAGTTCTCCAAATGTGAATTTTGGCTTAAAGAGATTGGCTTTCTCGGGCATGTCATATCCGGTTCGGGCGTTGCTGTGGATAACGCCAAGATAAAAGCCATCATTGATTGGGAGAGACCCAAAAATGTGAAAGAAATACGTAGTTTCCTTGGCCTAGCGGGATACTATCGTAAGTTCGTAGAGAAATTTTCCGTGTTGGCATCTCCATTGACGAAGCTCACAAAGAAGGGGGCTAAGTTTATATGGGATGACAAATGTGAGAGAGGGTTTCTTGAACTGAAGAAACGACTCACCGAGGCACCAGTTCTTACTCTACCCAAGCAGGGGATAGGGTACGATATCTATAGCGATGCTAGCATCCAAGGACTTGGGTGTGTGTTGATGCAAAGGGGTAAGGTGATTGCCTACGCTTCAAGGCAATTGAGGAAACATGAAGTGAACTACCCTACTCACGATCTAGAGTTGGGGGCGGTGGTGTTTGCACTGAAAATTTGGAGGCATTATCTCTATGGGGAGACATGTCACATTTATACCGATCACAAGAGCTTAAAATATGTATTCACTAAGAAAGAGTTGAATATGAGACAGAGGAGATGGATGGAGTTGATCAAGGACTACGACTTGATCATCGAGTACCATCCCGGAAAGGCCAATGTAGTGGCCGATGCACTGAGCAGGAAGAGTACGTCAGGGACGTTACTCACATGTCTACAGGCATTGAGGGCACGCGTAGAGGTGTCCGCGTGTGGGACCCTCATTGCTAGATTCGAGGTTAGGCCTACGTTGCTGAGTGAGATCAGTAGATGTCAGGCCGCTGATGAGGAATGTCAGAGGATCCGTGAACGGATCCTTGAGGGACCCGTTGAGAACTTTCGTATACGTGATGATGGTCTGTTGTTATTTAAGGATCGTGTTTGCATACCAAAGGATGAAGAGCTCCAAAGGTCCATACTAGAGGAGGCTCATTCTTCGGCCTATGCCATGCATCCAGGGGGTACTAAGATGTACCGGGACTTGAAAGAAAGTTATTGGTGGTCAGGTATGAAGAGGGACATCGCAGAATACGTGAGCCGATGCCTTACTTGCCAACAAGTTAAGGCGGAGCATCAGCACCCAGCGGGGCTTTTGCAGCCACTTACCATTCCAGAATGGAAGTGGGAACATGTGACCATGGACTTCGTGGTAGGGCTACCACGGACGGTGAACAACTATGACGCGGTTTGGGTAGTGGTTGATAGGCTCACCAAGAGCGCACACTTCTTACCTATCAACATTACTTATCCTCTTGAAAGGTTGGCCAAGTTATATGTGGAGGAGGTTGTGAGATTGCATGGAGTCCCGATATCCATTGTCTCGGATAGGGATCCACGATTCACATCCAGGTTTTGGCCAAAGTTTCAAGCATCTTTGGGTACTAAACTGAAGTTTAGCACAGCCTTTCACCCACAGACAGATGGACAATCTGAGCGGGTGATACAGATTTTGGAAGACATGCTTAGGGCATGTGCCTTGGAGTTCCAAGGGAGTTGGGACAAACACCTAGCTTTAGTGGAGTTTGCCTATAACAACAGTTATCAGGCAAGTATTGGCATGCCTCCGTACGAGGCACTGTACGGGAGGAAGTGTAGGACACCATTGTGTTGGGACGAGGTTGGTGAGGCCAAGCTCGAGGGAATAGAACTTGTTGAGATCACCAAGGCTAAGGTGAAAATCATTCGTGACAGACTTAAGGCTGCCCAAGATCGGCAGAAGAGCTATGCAGACAAACGGCGAAGGCCGTTAGAGTTTGAGGTCGGGGATGAAGTTTTTCTAAGAATTTCTCCTTGGAAAGGTATCATCCGATTCGTATCAAGGGGTAAGCTTAACCCCCGATACATTGGTCCGTTTGAAATCCTGGAGAGGATTGGGGCCGTAGCTTATCGTCTCAAGTTAACACCGGAACTTGAGAAAATTCATGATGTGTTTCATGTATCGATGCTCAAGAAGTATGTGCGGGACCCGTCACATATTCTTGAGAAGCCACCGGTGGAGATCCGAGAGGACTTGCAATACGCAGTAGAACCGGTAAAGATAGTGGGCCAACAGGTAAAGCAGCTTAGGAACAAGGAGATTCCTATGGTAAAGGTGCTTTGGAGGAGTGATCGAGTCGAAGAAGAAACCTGGGAGACCGAGGTCTCAATGAGGGAGCAATACCCGTTTCTTTTCGATTAGACACGTGGATTTCGGGGACGAAATCCCAAATAAGGGGGGGTGAACTTGTAACACCGTCCCCAAATATATTTACCGTTATGTAAATTATGTATTGAATATGGTGTATTGAGTAATGAATTTACGAGGTTGTAAATTTTTGTTATTTCTTTTGCGTGAATAGTAAATTCCACGTGGGGCCCACACTCGGAGCGGGGGTAACCCGATAACGCGAGACCACATGTTATATTCATCTTGGTCTAGATAATAGTTACATGGTGGTGGACATTCATAATGGGCCATGATAAAGGCATTGGGTTGACCGGTTTGGCAAATAGGGCCCAATTACCGGTATTGGTAATTCAACATATAACAGCCCGAAATGAATTTCGGGGGCTTATAAATTAAAGTTGGGGAATGTATATTCATTATGAGGGTCATAATGATTGAAAACACATATTATATTTTATTTGACCAGATAAAATAAAATATAGTTAAACTAGTCCGAGAAATACAACTTTCGGGGCCGAATGTACACGTCGGGACAACATGGGATGACCTCCCACATGAGTGGGGGCCACCCCACGTTTTTATGGGCTATTGAGACAAGGGAGGGCTGCTCAATGTCATAGGGAGGTGGCTGGATGATTTAATTGGCATCAAACAAGTGTGGACCTCACTCCCACACTTATTTGCTAAGTAAGACAAGGAGGAAGGTCTCCTCACTCCCACCCCTATCACTCAGCTCGACCCAGCCCCCAAAGAGAGAGAGGAAGAGCTCTGAAAATCCTCCATCTCCATAGCCAAGAAAGCTCAAACAAGCAAGGAGCTCAAGGGAGAAGATTATAGGAGGAGAGAGCTAGGAAGAAGTGTGAAAATTAAGGTAATAACCTTATCATAACTTTTCCTTTATTTTTCTTCTACCATATGAGTTATATATCATATGAATAACCCCTAGGATGGTTCTACATGCCCAAAGTGTAGAACAATGGGTTGAAAGATGGTTATAAGTCCAAGAACGGACTTAGAAGCCAAAGAGACCGGCTCACCGGAAAATAACCTTTTAGAGGTTATTTGTATTGATTTGGGTTTTGTGATGATAAAACCTTGTTAGGCACTTGTAAAGGGTGATTTAAGAACTTTCACGAAGTTGAAAGAGTCGCCGGAGTTGTCACCGGAGTTCATCAAAGTTCGCTGGAGTTCCATCGGAGTTCAACCGGGAAGGGTAGAACTTCACAACGCTCATTCGAGGTGAGTGGACGGCTTAATGTCTTATAACTCTTGGGTTAAGTATGAGATTACCTAAATAAATGTTATAAGTATTCATAATGATGTTTAAAAGAGTTTAAGCATGTAATTAGCCTAGGTAATTAGGCCTATGTGAATAAAACTACATGATGATGCATGTGAAGTATATGAAAAATGTATAAAAACATTTGTGATGTTTTGGATGACCAAAATGGCATTTATTGGTTGTTTTAGACATGATATAGGTTGTATAAAAATTTCGGGTCAAACGGATCACGTTTCGGGGGTCAACTCGGGGGTCAACGGACCGTTGACCCAAAACTCCGAACATACCCGGCGCCGGGTATAGGGCATACCCGGGGCCGGGTAAGCTACTGCCTCCACATATTAATTTCACCGAAAACGCGAACCGAAGTCCGGTTCGAAGGAGGGGCTGACCCCGTACAACCTATGTGTGTATATTGTGCATGGAATTGCATGGAATATGATGATTTAATGTCAAGGTTGATATTTATTGATTTAATTCTAAGACTTGGTTTAGTCTTTAGTAATAATATGATATAGACCCTATCTAGTGTGATATGTGGTAAGTCATAGGTCGGGTGGAGTACCCAGGGATCGGGCGTGTATCCTCAAAACTCGGTTATAGGGTGGAGTACCCAAGGATCGGGCGGTTATCCTCAAAACTCGGTTATATAGGGTGGAGTACCCAAGGATCGGGCGGTTATCCTCAAAACTCGGTTATATAGGGTGGAGTACCCAAGGATCGGGCGGTTATCCTCAAAACTCGGTTACAGGGTGGAGTACCCAAGGATCGGGCGTGTATCCTCAAAACTCATAAGATTACATTTAATGATCTAGGACCGGGCGGTGTCCTTATGATAATTTATTTGAACAAGGAGGAGTTCTATACACTCATAGGTATATGGGTGGGTTGGGATTTAAGTCAAGGATATTGGCTACTATTATTTTCCCAAATAAACAATGACCTACGGGTCGGGTATTTCCAAGTGTATGCATACTAATATGTATTTCAAACTTGGGGGGAAGGACTATACGTATATGTATCACCCTATGTTTGGGTCTTATACTTGAAACGTTAGTTATTCTACATTTAGCTTGCTACTCGCTCGGTACTTGTACTGACCCCTTCGGGGGGCCCCACCATTTCAGGTTGAAGCTAAGGCTAGCTATCCATACTTTGCTTGGTGAAGTATTCCAAAGGAAGACGTGGTTCGTGCTTCCTTTACTGTTTTAAACTACAAACTTGCTCATGGATATTTTGTAATAAATACATTTGTTTTGGGCCTGCGTGCCTACGTTTTGGCCAAGTGTGGCCCACGATTGAATATTGAATATTTCCGCTATTCGTTCAACCCTATTATGTGATGTTGTTATGTATGTTTACTTACTGAGTATGGTATGGATTATGTTCATGGACGCCTTGTTTGACTAAGTCACGTTGACTCGTGGGTGACGTCATTTAGTCATACGGCGGTTGTACACGCGCTCAGATGCGGTCTGGGGCGTGACACCCTCCGTCCCTATTATAGCTTCCAAATAGGTTTGGCACAGAGTTTAAGGTAGTGGGTATTGTGTGGTGGAGAGTTGTGTAGAGGAGAGAGAAATGTGTAAGAATTGCTGTGAACCACAAATTCTGGCCAAAAAGGGAAAGTGGAAGTTTTAATTGGGACGGACGAAAAAGGAAAGTTGGAAGTTTATTTAGGGACGGAGGGAGTACATCAACTGTTTGAAAAGGCCCACTTTGACTAAGTACAAGGATCGAGGATTCGAGGGAGTGTTACTATATACCTAAACCGTCAAACGTAAGGCATGTGCGATGTACGGACTAGGATTGATGGTGATGTGGAACAGCAAATTTGGCCCTTTGCGTGTTGTCTATATATGAAGTACTCGTACTATAGTATGGACTCAATTATTGTTCATTCTTTGCTCAGTACGTTTATATAGTCCGTATCTTTCTTTGTTGATACATCTGAGAGAACAATTCAAGTTAAGCTAGCGAGCTATCATGGCACCGCCTCAGCGTCGGAATGAAAACATCAATGATAAAAGAGATTCTCTGTGCATCACTTTCCTCGTCGCCATCGTATGCGCAGGATTTGTGACGTATACTGTAGCCAGCTTACTCAAAGTCCGCAAATACACCGGCGACTACCCCATCTTCACCCTGCAAAAAGCCGCGGTACACAACCTCAACCTCACCGCCATTACCGGAGCGGACTCCTCTTTTCTCCTAGACACGAGCATAAACATCACGCTGCTCTACCAAAACCCAAACGGCCACGTGGCAATCTCCTATGACCGTCTCGCCGTCAACACCTTGTATTTGGGCGAGCTCGTTACTGTTCCGATCATTCTTCCTCCGTCAGTTCAGCCCCCAAAGAATGCCAACTCTTTATCGGCATTCTTGAACGGACATTCTGCTCCGGTGGGTGGGGCGGGCTTGGAAAAGATGCCGCTCATTCCGATCAACATCACGGTCGAGGGCTGGGTTACTTGGGACTCTAGCTACCTTTCGAAGGAAGGAAAACTGCATGTCATTTGCCCATGCTATCTTCGGTCGGGTTACGCCGGGGACTATAATTTACGCCAGAGTTGCACGGTTGACCTCGATCAGCATGCCTTGAAGACGACTTAATTAATCCACTATACGGAGTATATATATAATTAATCATTACTAATTAAATATTATTGTGTTTTATACGGAGTACTATTAATTACTACTATATACATGCATAAGTACTCCATATTATTAATTAGCTAATAGATCGATGCATCACGCATGTAGTTGATAACTCATACTCCATAATACTTCGAATATGTGGTGTATAATTATGCAATGGAGTATGTTTTACGTAGTATTAATTAATGAAGTAATTACGTAGTATTAAATATGTGTGTTAGTGTGTATGCATGTCTTCAAGCATTGATAAATGTCTTTGCTCTTATCTTATACTCCTTATTAATTACTCCGTACTAATCTTAACGAGTTAACAGTGTAAAAGTGTAAAACAGTAAATTACAATACATAATTCTACTTAATTAGGAGGACCTTAAATGAAACATGTTTTATTTTATAAGTAGGGTTTTCCTGTCGTAATGTCGTAATAAACGAAAACAATTTTAATGATCATGCATGTATACTAGTGCATTTTATTTATGTTTTAATTTAGTTCTATTCAAGGAATTTTTATATTACTCGCTCCGTCTCAATTTGTTTTGTAAAGCCAACATTTTTTTGTCAACACTCCCTATTTATAGTTAACTCAATTTTTAATAATTAAAATTTACATATTCAAAAATTACATTAAAATTTCTTCAAAGTTGTAAACTCCAAATTAGAATTTAATTAAAAATTGACATCATAATTAAGTGAACAATGCGAGACTGTTTGACTAAAAAAAGTCAAAATTACAAATCAATTTGAGACAGAGGTAGTACTATATTAGTATACTTAGTAGAGTATATGTTTGCATTACTATTAACAGAAAAACGAAAATTTGGTACAGCTAGCGGCGACAGAAAAATATAGGGAGTACAACATAAGAAGACTAGCTTAACCAAGCTTTGAGACAAAATTAAATACGAGTATTGGAGTTGAGCAAATTAAAGAACCGAAGAAATACTATGCATTAGAGAGTGCAGAAGTGGATATGACAATCAGGTGTGAACGGTAAAACAGAAAGTCTAATACGATAGTAATTACTAATTAGTAGTACTTCGTATATTTCTCAAATAGATTGAGACATCATCGTGTGGACTTATAACAACCCAAATTTTAGTATAGAAACTCCTTACCAAATATCACAAAATCACAAACCCCGATTATCAGTGTTGTCTCCCCCGTAAATTGGTATATGATGTTATCTAGCCTGGAAATTCACCGAAAACATATTAATTAGTTGTAACAACTTCATTTTAGTCAATAAAAAAGTTATCAGCTAAAGTAAGAATGATTTCTTTTGAACTGAAATTTGCTGGTCTGGTCTGATCTGGTTTGATCTGGTTTGTTTAAGTCTGGTCTGGTAAACGTCTGGTCTCTGTGTATTTTGTAACTGTCCAAGTCTGGTCTGATCTGATCTGGTTTGGTCTGGTCTGGGATTGAAAACAGTCTAAAAGAAAACATCCTAATTTCGGAACGGCGGTAGAATTGCGAGAGGTCTCCTTCACAGAATCACAGCTTCAATTTAGTCACTATATCATGAGGAGCGGCAGAGGGTAACATCATATTCTCATGTCCAAAATGTCATCATTTAATTTGGAAGTGTTCTTATAAATTAAATGATGTAGTGAAACTATAAACTAAGATAGCCTCCAATCCTCCTTTCCTTCAATAGGAAAGCTATGGAAATACGGAGTAAAACCTAAGGTTTATATGAATGATATACAATGTAAAAGTTTTTCTTAGAAATGTATTATTTGTGCCAAGCGCATTGGCATTCAATTCCATGATACCACTATGAATCTTTGACACGTCCATATGAGGTCACAAGTTCAAATTTCATTTCAATCAACAATTGTTAAATAGGTCCATGTACTTTCGTGAAAAAGTCAATCAGGCAATCAAGTCCATCAAGGTAAAAAAATTAACCAAATTTGCCATTTGAGCGGTAATCAACCGATAACCCTAGTACTTGTTGATGTGGAGGCTGACATTTATGTAATTTCCATGTGTATGTTGTGTTTTTATTTATAGAGTTAATTCTCTAAAAAGATCAAAAAAGTGACCCAAGGGAACAAATAGGACTACATGTTTTTTATTCCCTTTAGTAGGACTATTTATTTTCCCAAATGATTTCAGTACGTTTGCTTCAATTCTAATCAATTTTAGCATGTTGTGATCCGCGTTTTCAAGTGAGTGATTATTCAAATCCTAATCCATAAAACGAACTATCCAGAGTGATTTGAGGTCAGTTTTGATTGTTTTTTGTGCTATGAGGTTGGATTTCCAGTGCAAGATCTTTAATATGTACAAATATGTTAATTATCCGATTAGGCTTGTGATTAAACAAAATTACAACATCAAAAGTGGATACAATAAAAAATTATGGAACTATATCAATAATTTTTTTCTATATGTAAATTAAAAGTTACTTAACCATCATTAAGGCTCTGTTTGCAACTACTTGTGCTTAAATAAAAGCACTTTGGGGAAAAAGTGATTAGTAGTAAAAGTTGGTAGTGTTTGGTAAAATAAGTGCTTTTTGTGTAATAGAAAAAATAAAAAGTAGATTCTACACGAAAATCGAGGAAGTAAAAGTTGGTAGTGTTTAGAAAAATAAGTGCTTTTTTCTTAAAAAAAAGCCAAAATCACTTTTTTTAATTGGTTGCAAACAAGCCCTAAAGGATAGGGAAGGGGGTAAAAGTACATTCTTGATAGTGTAGGTGTGTAAGTGACAATAAATCAAACTTTAAGGGGGGTGAATGGTAATTTCCCTTTGAGAAATAAAATAAGTGGTACAAATCAAAAGTAATGTGTCATGCAATGAAATAGGTGTGCAAATATAAACTTCTAAACCGTCAATAAAGATACTACATGATATAAACTTCTATGTAGACAATATTCAAGACAAACGTGGTTGGTCGTATTGTCCATCTAAGTATAAATTTCAATTAAGATTAACTTGTTACCCTCAAGACCTAGAGATGGCAACAGGCATATTACCGTATCAGACCTTTTGGATAATTTTTCCGCCACATAACCGTCCCATTACCCAATGGGTTTATTTGTATTTAAACCATAACCGCCCCCAACGGGTAACGGATATAACTGTGGGGTCCGCAGGTAATCAATAATCACTGTATTACATGAGTTATTGATATTTTAATATAAAACCAATATATTAAAAGGAAAAAAAATGATATCTCCTAGACGACTCTAAATGTGAGAGGCCACTTAAGAGTTTTCTACATCTATTAGGCAAGAAAAAAGGCAACCTAAATTTATTTGAACTTCAAAATACTTATATTGAAAATATCTAGAATGGCAAAAAGATGCCCAATTTGATTTATTATTCCTCCACTTCCACCATAATTTCAACGAGTAAGCCTTCTCAATATCAACAAGAGATCTAATATTCAAACCACCCTCATCATAGGCTAAACACAGATCTTTCCACCTTATCCATTGAGCTTTATGTTTAGTATCATTTGACCCCCATAGGAAATTAGTTATTCTCTTATGAAGACTCTTGATAACAGCCTTAGGCAGAGTGTCAACAGCCAATATATGCAAAGGGATAGTATTAAGAACATGTTTAATAAGCACCAGTCTCCCCCCAAAGCTTAAATTTTTCTGCTTCCATGTTGATAACTTCTTATCAAAGCTTTGGAAAATACCCTGACAGTAATTTTTCCTGTTTATTCCTTTGTGCAGAGAAGATCCAAGAT